GGCTTTAGGGTCGAATAAAAAGCTCGAAAGCCAATCGATCGTTTGTCCTTGGCAGCCAAACCGTTGACAAGGAGCCAAATGAGCTTGTGCTCGAGATTAATAACAGCTCCAGCTATGCACGAGGAGAAAATATGGCCTCGGACGAAGCACACGGAAGTACTGTTGGTGAAAACAGAAAGAGACGGCTTTTACAATACTTACCTTTTGAGGCGATTGAAATTCCCAAGTGGGGTAAAAAAGAAGATATTTCAATTGAGGAGATGATAGCAGAGATACTGAGTCGTGTTAAAAAGTGGGAAGAAATGAAAGATAGATACGACGAAATGTTGATTAACAAAGTCCAGAAGGAGTTTCTTGTCGAATTTATTTTCCACGTGAACATGGAGGAGTAAAGTGGTTTTTCAACTTTTGAAGAAACTGATGAATTTTTAACACATTTTTACGCACGAGGCGGTAATTCACAACGCCGTTTCTACATGATTCCCGTGATTTTCTTAAGCATATGTTTCATTAAAAACATGCAGACGTGACCACGAAACGTGTGTTCCAATTGTTTATTGCAATGTAGTAGGTCAAGTTTGTTTTCACATGCTGTGCGACTTCTTATGCCGCGACTAAATCTCTTGGCAAATTTTAGCACAGCAAAAGATAAATAAACAAGTCTACAACGCAGCTATATTTCATGTATAATGGTTCATAATTATTCCTAACACTCAGTAAAGGAAAAAAAAATCAACATTAAGTTTCACAATAATAATTATAGTATTTGTGTAATAATATCGGTGATGACGTAATCTAATTAGTATGAAGCACGTGGGTAATGCTGTGTGATGTATATAGGCCAGGTGCGAGAGAATAAAGGTAGCGTTGCTATGCGGATTCTGTGGGATTAGCCCTTAATCCTCTTACCTACCAACCGCGCTCGACTTATCAATATCCTGATGTGATTATGCAACAGTTCAGTTGACCTCAGGCCTTGCTCTTGTAAGCTCCTCTTCCCATTAAATGTATAGCTTTAAATATATACTTGGTCTCCACTCTTCCTTTCGCCTCCGATAATCGCACACAGTGTTCGTATTTTTTTAGTAAAACCCAAGCCAATGTCCCACATTAGACTGTCGAAAAGAAGAGAAATGTCATTGTTTTAAGTAAATAAAAAGGATAGAAGAAGGGATAGGGACAGGGCTAAATCTGCACTGAGGCATTCCTCATGATCCTCAAAACTATCGTGGGATTCCAAGCAGTGTACTTCAGAATCTCTCTCGACGTCGCTAGCGCTATTGTCACTTTCAGAGGCAATTTCGAGATGTCTCGATCGGGTACCTCGACTGACAAAGTCATCACAGTGACTGCAGTAATAACTGTTTTTCCCTCATTTTCGAATTCAGGAAAGATATTGAGCTAAGAAATGACGAGAACTGACGAGAATTACAGTAACATTTGCCGCTGCACTCCGATCCGCAAAAAAATATGCAAATTTTCGGGAGTGCATGCGCAGAAAGGCCCTTGCGCGGCGCTTCTGTAAATCGAATTCTAGCAGTCATCACCGCAGAGAGTCCACGAGATCACTACGCATGCGCATAACTAGCCATTCTGCTACGCTTACGCTCCGCCATTACATGTGCGACTGGTCAAGCGAATCGAAATCAAAGAATATCTTCACCATCCTATCTCCTTTACAGACAATATATAAACCTCTACCTAAGGCGCTGCCTTACAAGGATAATTTGGTTGTTTTGCGAGGCAAAACCGTATTTAAAGCGTTTTATCGCTGTCTATCAAGATGAACTCAGAGGGATCAACACTGAGCGCGTTTGACATAATTGCAGAGGAAAATTGCCCCACGGCGCCGCCGGGGAAACAAGGGAGTGATGCTCCAACAGGCAAAACTCCCAATGCTGGTACAAGGAGAGAAAAACAACCAGCCTTAAAAGTCTCTAAGGTCAAAAAGGCTTCAAAGTCAGCAGAGAGCATAACATCAAACACGACGATCAACGAGGAGTCATCCAAAACGTCAAAAGGATTTGACGAACTCAGCCACAAAATTGACCAACTCACGGCAGTTGTAGGTAATTGCGCTCCCGTTATTGCAGAACTAAAGGCGACTTATGATGCCGGCTTAAATGAGGACTCGCCTGACGATAGCGAGGACGATAATGGAGTCTTGGGGGAACCCCCGGCAAAAAAGAGTAGGTCAAGCTCAGACAATGAAAAATCCGTCGCGGACGGTTTAGTTGATGTACTTGTTTAGGAAGTCACTGAAGATGAACAAACTGGCAAAGCATTAAACGAGAAAATTGCACAGGTTCTTGATAATATCTTAGCTTCAGGACAGAGCGAGCACGTGTTGACAAAACGCAAAGAGGATATGAAACGGCCCGAAAATTGCAAACTGCTGCGGGTCACAAAGGTCAACACTGAAATATGGGATATTGCCCAGAAAACCACACGTAGTATGGATGCTAGAATCCAGAAATTGCAAGAAACCCTGATTAAGGGTCTAACTCCACTTGCCTACCTAACAGGGAAGGTAGGTGAGACAGTGGAAAACCAGGCTCCACTGCCAGCCCCAGAAGA